AACTCATAATTGACACCAGACTGCCTCACAGGAGACGTTCTGGTTTGCGAGATACCCCGCCCCGTACACGACCCCTATAATTAAGCAGAAATGCATTGGTGCAATGCGCGCGATTTAGGTCATTTTAAACCATTCAAATCGGGTGATCACAGTGGTACTTTAAGGTGTCAGCGAGGTCAATTAAGTTAGCGATAAAAGGAGGGAGCGACAGTAATCAAGTCAGCTTTCCATTAGAAGCTTGCATAATAAAAATTACGCGAAAAGCAAACGCAAAGTAACTAAAATCGCTTTCATCACACATCCCTTGCCCATGAAAACTGTTAAACTGAGTGAAATAATAAGACAAACTGAGGACTGGTAGATAAAAAAGGCCGGTAGCGGTAAATTGCCACCAGACAGAAATGATAAATAGAAAGACGTTCAACTGCGAGGATGATTTCCAATTGTTAAAAAAGGTCATAATACTGGAGGCATGAAAGACCGTGCGAAGAAACGACCATAAACTGTTAGATAAATACGTGACTGTACAGGCACAACCATAAAGCGATTCTGTGTAAAGCTGAATTTACATCATTTGTCTTGGACTGCATCGATAGGAAACATCTTGGGCGTAACTAGTAGATCTGACTTTTATCAAACGAAAAAAGTCACGTAGGTCCTTCGAGGAAATTTCAGAAGGCATAGATACCGCAAAGGTTATGATCGGTGTAAGGGTTCCTATAAAACTTGCTCCAGCCACTAGTACTAGAATTACCAGCTGCAAAGCTAAGAGCCAGTAATCAGGACCGTTTAGCGTGTTGCGAACTCCAATGCAGCTTTACCTGCCCGCTCCGATCTTTTCCTGCCACTGACGCTGGCACTCTTTCGTTTTATTCTTCTTCCTCTTCTCCCCCCCACACCACCACCATCTTATTTTTCTTCTTCTTCTTCTTCTTCTTCTTCTTCTTCTTCTTCTTCTTCTTCCTCTTCGTCTTGACAACCCACATGTTTCACTTAAACTACTTTATGGAAGTCCTCGTGGTCGAATAGCGTTTACTGCAAAACGGTGGTTCAGTTGCCGCAAGCACTGACGTCATTGCTTGTCCCACGGAGTGGACGCAGCACCAGCGACTTCCGCGTGAGTTGGTTTATGATGAGGTGGACGTTTACAGCATCTACCACACTCTCTCCTCTGTCATTCTCCCTTGTCAAATGCGAAGACAATGTCAAGGTAGCTGGAGATGGGCATGAGCTCAATGACTGAAGAAGCGAAATAACACGCCTGCGCGTGCCACAACGCGTCCTGGCTCTAACTGCATGTGCCAAACCGCAATAAGGGTGGGTCGGCCCTCGCACAGGTGAGAGTGCTATAAAGACCACGTTAAGAAGAAACCGTTGCAGCCTGGCCTGCAGACCTGAGAAGACCATGTTCTCCAGTCATTTGGCAAGTCTCCAAGCGTCGTGGCTGAGTCAACTCATCAGTTGTATTATAGTGGGGAATGCGCTGGTGTGCCGTGGGGATGGATTCCACATTGTGGGCCTCTCTATCCCTCCTTCTTTCTTGCCACTCCCATTCATCACTTGACCGTCTGAGCCTGTCAACATCTAGCGTTTGAATTGGGTACCTGCACACGTAAATGGGGGGTCTGCAGGTCCAAAAAGCTGTAACGCGTCAGACCTGAAAACCATGACAAAAGGTCTGTGTCAGATGAGTAATCGGGTGGAGTTTGCCCCGTTTCTGGGGGCAGAGCAGGTCTGGTCAGTCACTGGATGTAGGCTCATCTCCGGACCATACACCAAATGTGCCAAGGGATATGCCACGCAAGCCCTTCCTCTAATTAGTCACTTGCCTTAGCTGTTGCAATTGGCGAGGGTCCACTTTGGGCAAGACACGCGAACTACAGGCTAGGAGGTCGGCGTTCTGCCTTACTCACACAAGACTACGGTGAAGCATTCTCTCGACTGCCATCGCAAACACCCTACAGGTTGACAATAGAGGACACAAGCTTGGCCTTATTGTAGGAGGGAGTGTGGCAGTTCGAGGGGGGGAAGTGAGAGGGGGTAGAAACACACTTTTGGGGTCCACCGAGTGTACACATGGCAACACGAGGGTTAGTGATGGACAGGAGTGCCGGTCGGCACAGAGGGACATTGCACACTGTTTGCTGACCGTGCCTGAGAGCGATCTTGTGATTTCCAGGGGACTGTCCGAGGGAGAGGTTGTCTTGTCTGTGGACTGACAATTGGACCGAAGGTCTGGCTCAGTCAGTCCCCCCTTCCATGTGGCGGTTGTTTGAAGGCGACGTACTGAGTGCTGTAGTCTCACTTTGATTGACAGGTAAGACCAGGTGTGGGACAGTCTAGGTGGCTACAACCGACCAACATCCAACACTGTGCTTAGACACCTGCAGACCCATTATAGCCCACGTGAACTGTGAAAGTTCTAAGAGGCGCTGATCCTGCAGTCTGAACGACTGCAGTTCGACCGTCGATTCCGTGTACCCCACAACAGGGCGGGCGCAGGAACGGCGACCAGCGCGTGAATTAGTTTATATTGATGGTCGACTTGTGCTGTATCTATCGCACTCCTCCCACCCCCCTTCACCTGGCCTGGCGTCACGACGGGGCCAAGAAGAATTGGGGCGGGAGAAGGCACAGGTGACCGGCGCGACGTGAACCCGCACCTAAGTGTGTCACCAAACTCCCTGGTCCTCCACACAAACGGCCAGGAGTTGACACAACTAGGAGAGGGGGGGGATGGAGGGGGCTTAGATCCCAACTGCATGGGAATGCTATGAATGTCGCAGTAAGGAGGAGTCGTCGCAGTCTTACTCTCAGTCCACCAGTCAGCCATTCCACACAAAGCGTGTTCAGTCAGCCCCCTCCCCCTGTGGCGGTTGTTCGAAGACGACAGACTGAGTTTAGAGTAGTCGTGCTTTTACTGACAGTTAGAGTGACTGCAATCGACCAACAGCCACTGCAGCCCATTGTGTCTAAAGGTCTGCCGCACAAATATAGTCTACGCGCACAGTGAAAGCTGTAGGAAGTGCTGATCCTGCGATCTGACCGACTGAAGTAGGAACGCAGGCTTGCTCCCAGACAATAACAGTCGTCCTCTTCTTCAGTCATGCAACACAACACTTGGACATAAGCCCCTGGAAATTGTCTGCACAAACACCCCCCCTTCCGCACCCCCAAAAACTATCATAGTAGACAATAGAAGCGAAGAGACGAGTCCCAGGAAGTAGTCTTGAAGAAGGAGACACGATCGATGGGACAAGAGCTTCATTAGCCTGACGTTTCGGATTCCTGCTCGAACCCATCATCAGGGACAACAGAGAGGCCTCCCAAAGGGCGAAGGTTTCCCATCGCCGGGCCAATCGGAGGGCAACGCGCTCAAATACATTGCCTATAGAAGCGAAGAGACGAGTCCCAGGAAGTAGTCTTGAAGAAGGAGACACGATCGCTGGGACAAGAGCTGTCTCTGGTGATGGGTTCGAGCAGGAATTCGAAACGTCAGGCTAATAAAGCTCTTTTCCCAGCGATCGTGTCTCCTTCTTCAATATCATAGTAACTCATCGTTTTCTCTCTCTACGATACGACTTATCACCGTGGACATATGCCCTGACCACACCAGTAGCCACTGCTGTCTTAAGGCTCTGCAGTTCAGGACTCCGGATAAGACAAGTATCGCATTCTGGTATGTTTAATGCTGCCCTGCTAACTGGGATCCGATATGACGATGACGATGCTGCTGCTGCTGCTGCTGCTGCTGATGATGATGATGATGATGATGATGATGATGATGATGATGATGATGATGATGATGATGATGATGATGATGATGATGATGATGATGATGATGATGATGATGATGATGATGATGATGATGATGATGATGATGATGATGATGATGATAGTTCGACCGTCGGCGCCGACAATGTCCAACGTTTGTTCCACAGCAGGGTGGGTGCAGGAACGATGACTTTCGCAGGAATTAGTTTATACTGATGTAGACTTGTTCAGCGCCTACAGCTCTCTCTCCCCTCTCCTCTGACCTACACCCGATGTCATGGCAGAGAGATTAGAAGACCAAAAGTAGGAGAGGGTGGAGGTGGCTGACGCAGCGGCAACCCGCATCTAAGCGTGTCCCCACGCCGATTCGGATGCAATTGATCGAGAGTGACAAAAGGCCACAGTAAGAAGGCACCATCGTAGTCTGACCCTCAACTCACTAATCAACGACTCTATACAGACACACGGAGCTAACTGTGAAGTCTGAGTTGGATCAGCAGTTGGCAACCTTCCAAGCACACTGTTATAGGCTCAAGCGTGTCATAGTGAGGAAGACGCGCTGAGAGTCGAACTCACTCTCTCTCTGCCATTCTCACTGCGTCAGGTTAACCACCTGATGCTGGGATTGAGAGAGGTGGCTGACAGAGCCGAAAACAGCCCGTCTGCGCGTGCCACGCACACGATTTGGTCAACTCATAGCGACAGGATTCCACACAAAGGGGGTAGACTGCTCGGAGCTCACATGTACAGTGCGTGACTGATCTAATTAAATGTTGGCCGAAATTCTGAAATTCGTTTTTAATTAGAAAGGATTACTTGGGAGGAGTTGTAATATTGATGAACAGAATAGCATTACCGACAAACACACGGGAGACTGGAATGACAATTTCTGGTGGGGTTGTAATATTGATTAGCATAATGGCATTACCGACAAAGACAAGGGAGACTGAAGTGGTCATTTCTGGCTTATTAGCCGTCTTCAGCCAGTCATTCCCAACCCCGAAGTGTGGAACACCTGGAGCTCGAACTGTCGACCTGTTAGTTAGAAGTCCACGCCTCTAACCGCTGGGCCACGAGCCCAGTGGCGTTGACTTCCATCGATTAGCATGCGGCATAATCCTATAACATTTCGGACTCCCCAGGATGTCGGCTTTTGGATTCACTCCTTCTTGACCTCCTGCAGAAACCGTACCCGGTAAAAAGGTGGCTATTTTCGTAGCATGTACTTTCCGCATTGATTTTCGATGGTCCTATAAATTCAAATGTATCTTGCAGAAATCGTGCACGAAAATAAGCTTTCTTTTAATCATTTGGTAGAAAACGACATTGTCTTAGCACTTTATGAACGAAGAAAGTGTATATTTAGGTTTTAAAAAGAATCCCAATTCCCGAATATTTTTGAGACTGAGCTGACATTGCATTAGTGTTCAGCGATTTCAGTCTACAAGGTGCATGCTTTCGACGTAGGGAAAATCATATATTCCTCTACGCCTTTAAGAAGATACGACAAAAGTTCACAATGAATCCGAACTGTGTTGTACATTTAATGAGGAGCAGTGGTAAACGGACATGTGCGGTCCTGTATGCATGGACATCGCATGGTCTTAAAAATCTCATAATTAGAAACCTTTTTAAAACCTAAATGTACACTTCATTCGTGCATAAAGTGCAAAGACAATGTTATTTTCTACCAAATGAGTAAAAGAAAGCTTATTTTCGTGCACGATTTCTATAAAATATATTTGAATTTACAAGACCATCGAAAATCAATACGAAAGTAGTCACTTTTTTTACCGGGTACGGTTTCTGCAGGAGGTCAAGGAGTGAATCCAAAAGCCGACATTCTGGCGAGTCCGGAAAGCTATAGGATTATGCCGCATGCTAATCAATATTACAACAGCTTTAGTACAGCCAACGCTCTAACCACTTGAGCTACGAGGCCCCGCCGGACGACGCGAGTTTGATCACATGTGGGTCAAGTTACCCGCCCAACCTACTGCAACGTCTGGAATCCACCACAGTTGGGTCATTATGAATTATTCAAAATCTGCCAAAACATCTATGAATTACGTAAGCTTGGTAGTCATCGGATGGATTCTAGGTGAATTACTTAGGAAATCCTGCTTGGGCAGTCAACTTACTGTATCAGATTTGGTGGATTCCAGACGTTGCAGTAGGTTGGGTGGGTAGCTTGACCCAAGTGTGATTAAACTCGCGTCGTCCAGCGGGGCCTCGTAGCTCACGTGGTTAGAGCGTTGGCTATACAAAAGTCATCCCCTTACTGCGTGGTTTCGAATCCCACCTAGGCGCCGAGTTTTTCACAGTTAGGCCACTATGAGTATATGTATTTGCATATATTGATGTCGGGGATCTGGTTTTTATTTATCAGTGTTAATACCGACCTGTAAAGAAGGGTAATGGTGCAAAAGGTCTTTGCAGCGAAGCTCAGGGCGAGGCCGCATCGTCCCGTCTACTGTACTCAGAAGCGGCTCCTCAATCGCCTCCTTGACCCTCTCGATACCCGGGTCTCAGTTTCACTGAATGAGACAAGGGCCGCTTAATTCGGCAGGCTCGACAACTCGTTAGACCTCACAAACGTCCCCTTAGCACTACAGAAGTAGCTTGTGGGGAGTGGTGGTGCACTGACTCAACGCATCACGAATGTTCGCCGGGTTCATTACGGCCGTTCGGCGTCAGACCTCCGAGCTAATTTGGGTTGGCTGCCGCGTCCACCCTGCATGCCGGGTCTACCTGCTTGCTAAGTTGGGGACCCCCCACGCCGTCGCCAGACAGCGCCGAGTAGGGCGAGAGGACATCCCAGGTCGACGAGTGGGGAGGGGGGGGGGTGAGGTTGAAAAAGCCGATTGTGTCCGTGATCTAGGACAGACACTGTAGTCTGCACTGTGGAGCCTAGTCTTACAGGGAAATTGTTTGTTCAGAACAAACACTTACCGGTGCACGAGATCCTGTCCAGTAAAACAGGGAGATAATGCTGCACACTCGCATCAGCTTCTCTAAAGCCCCGACTAATTAGGGAACGGGTTTAAAATGAATACAGTTGTAGCACGTGCAGGCACGAAATGAGACGCAACGTCCTGTTTCAAACGTTTTCTTTTCGAATACTTTGTCCTAGAGTGGTAGGGGTCGTGGTCATGCAAACACTAACGGACACAATTTACCATTGGGCAGCCACGATCCTCAGCGGCAGATAAGCTAAACAATATACGAACTCTGAATAAGTCGCAATTGTTTTTGGCTGCGGAATATGAAAACGGATACAGCCGGGAAGAAAATTCTCAGAAAGCTGTGCCATTTCCACACTACCTCCGTTGGTATTAGTTGGTGGAAAGTCTCAGACAGTCGATTGGTGCATGGAAGAGGGAAGGAAGCTAGACTGATAACGCTGAATTCATTCCTAATGCATGTTAGTGCATTCGTCACAGTAGCAAATCTGATGCGTTTGAATCTACCGCGACGCACTATGAGTCGTGGCTAGGAAGGTTTCCAGTCAACGATCGGGTGAAGGACCCCAAACATACACGACCAGCCAAAATTGCCTGTCTTAAGGGAAAGATGGTAATCGGGGTTTTACAGGCGGGAATTATGTGCGGAATGGCAAAATAAGTATAGATAATTGGTAAATTCGTTTTTCGGGCGGAAAGGTTTTGATGCAGCGACATAAAGCAACCGAAATTAGGCTGGACAATTAGAGAAATAAACTTTAAGTGTTTAAAACGATCGTTTCTCAACTCTCTGAGCTGAGGTCGTTGTAGATAATGCACCAGACCGTCTACAACAGACGACCCAAACTTGTACGATGAAACACCAAACCGAAATAATTGTGTCGGAGTAAAACCCACCTAAATACGTATAGTATGTCACAGATGCTTGGGGGCCTTCACCGATCCTTACGGGTTTCCAAATGACGAGAGAACTTGGTTCTTACGGGAGTATTTTGGAGTGACTGGATGACTGACATTTAGACTGCGGCATCTTCCTCTCATTGTGACCTTTATTGGTACCTCCTCTCATGTACCATCCGGGTAGACCTCACAGAATTCTGGTGCGTGATGTGGGGACAAAGTCGTGTGTGGCACGCGTAGACAGGCTGTTGGACTTTATCATCCATTACGCCTGCGCCCACCTCCGGTCGTCTTGACAATGTCTCGTCACCGGACCCTGGCAGGTGAGGCAGGAGGGAGTGCAGCAGCAGCTACGCAAGTCACCGGTGCTATGCCCACCCCATGCAATACGCTTTGCTTGCGACCACCGAACTGCCACTCATTTAGTTCCTTCAGCATCAAGAAGAACCGAAAGTAGGGACTATATGGATTCGTCCGCATAGGATCTCCGAAGGCTCACCTACCTCGCTCATGTGCTGACATCATACCGTAAGCAGAGTGGCATTACCGACAAAGACAAGGGAGACTGGAACGGCCATTTCTGGCTTATTAGCCGTCGTCAGCCAGTCATACCTAACCCCGAAGTGTGGAACACCCGAGGCTCGAACTCGCGACCTGTTAGTTAGAAGTCCAACGTCTCTGGCCACTGCCTATGTATCATGCACCGATGTGCGGCTGCCGGTTGGGCTCGAGAGAGAGGGCCCGTAAGGCACAACAGAACGAGTGAGTTCCGTAAGATCGATCGGTGAGCGCCCCCTACCAATGTCATACCGTAAGTTGTATACTTTTATTTCCTCAGTAGTATCGCCGAGTGTTCGCCTCCGTGTAGATGCGATAATTTCCTAAACAGTGTCTTTAAGTGCGCTAGTAGGCACACATAACGCAGATGGAAAAATTTGGCACATGAAGCAGCATGGCGTCTGCTTTGTGTGATGACTGACTCCCTCGTGCAGAACGCATGCTGCCTGTACACGACCTACACTCACAAACAAAAGCTAAAAATCATTCTGCCCCTCAACGTCAGTGAGTGCTGTTATGCTGGCAAACCAGTCCACTCGAGGTTCGGTCTTGACAAAAGACTTTTTTACAGTAGAACAATCGTTAAACCATCCGTGCCGGCGACTTCCTCGAAGTCAGTCAAAACAGGTGTCGAGCATTAAAACCGCGATAGAAAATGTGTTCCGCCATCGTCGTCTAATATCATTAAAACACAAAATCCCCCAGAGAGCGATAAATCAACAAAAAATACGAACGATATCGCCAGAGCGCAATGTCTGGTTATTCCTGAATCAAACGCCAACACACCTAAACAGCGGGTTTGGAAGATGTAAGTCTCTTCCAAGGCCTGCTCTATATTATCTTGGAACCCACTGAGGCAATTAAAGTGCTCAAAGTATCCCGTCTTGGAAAACGGGCAAACAATCAGCCAGCGCCAAAACACGCCCCAGGTTGTGCTGGGCTGTAAGGAACAAGCCGGATTGATCCTTTTTTGACGCTTGAGAATAAAAGGTACCAAACCCGACGTCTTTTCAACCGGATTACTCGCCAGCAGAGAGGCTGAAACGTTGTCTTCTAGTTCTAGAGTTGAGGAAGAGACTCAACGAAGGGGGACGGAATTTGGTTATCTACAACAACCAAGCAAGACAGAGCCCAACATTCTTTCTTTGGACGGGCCCAATCTGGATGACCGCGCAGCTGACATAGTAGGCGAAAGTCCTAGACGCATCGAGACCACTTCTCCGACGGCCATAAACCGCAAACTGAAATTCCTACAGTGCGTTACCTACCTCATGAAATATTGGCTGAAATTCTGAAATGCGTTTTCGATTAGGAAGGATTACTTGGTCGCGGTTGTGATACTGATTATCCTAAGGCATACTCTTATAACATTTTAGACTCGTCAGGATGTCGGCTTTTAAATGCACTTCTTTTCGATCTCCTTTAGAAAGCGTGCTCGGTAAAAAATGACTACTTATGTGGCATGAATTTTTCCCATTGATTTTCGATGGTCTTGGAAATTCAAATATATTTTATAGAAACCATAAACAAAAGCTGCTTTCTTCTAATCAATCAATAGAGAATCACATTTTCTTTATATTTTATACTTAAGGAAGGAATATAATTAGGTTTTAAAAAAGTTTCTAATTATGAGACTTTTTAAGACCACGATGTGTCCATTCACATAGCATCGTACCTGGCCGTTTACCACTGCTCCTCATGAAATGTACAACATGGTCCGCATCCATTGCAAAATTTTATGGACTTTGTATGATATCTCTTTAATGACATAGAAAAATATGGAATTTTCTTTATGCGGAACGCATGCACCTTGTAGACTGAAATCACTAAGCGCTAATGCGACGAATGATCAGGCTCCAAATTTTTCGGCAATTAGAAAACTTTTTTAAAACCTAATTATACTCCTTCCTTAAGTATAAAATATAAAGAAGATGTGATTCTCTTTTGATTGACTAAAAGAAAAAATATTTTTGTTTGTGGTTTCTATAAAATATATTTGAATTTCCACGACCATCGAAAATCAATGGGAAAAATGCATGCTACTTAAGTAGTCATCTTTTACCGAGCACGCTTTCTACAGGAGATTGAAAAGAAGTGCATTTAAAAGCCGACATCCTGCCGAGTCCAAAATGTTATAAGAGTATGCCTTAAGATAATCAGTATCACAACCGCGACCAAGTAATCCTTCCTAATCGAAAACACATTTCAGAATTTCAGCCGACATTTCATGAGATAGGTCACGCACTGTATATACAAATGTGCACTAGCCTCTTACAGAAAGTCGACGAACTAAAGATCCATTTATCTGATCTATCCCCATACGCAATCTCACTTACAGAAACTTGGTTGAGTCAACAGGTGGAAAACCGTGAGTTAACTATACCAGAATACCAGCTGTTTAAAAGAGACAGGCCAGGACGTCAGGGCGAAGGCGTACTCACGTATGTAAAAACGAAACACTAGAAACTGATGGGCGATCAAACAGCAATTCCGCTTTCACTCATCTCCCCCCCCCCCCTTCGTGGGGTAGTCGGAGTAGTGAGCCGTTCCAGTTATGCTTACAGTCTGGGGTTTGAAAAGATAATACAGATCTGACTGTCGGGACGAAACCTCGCCGATGTTACGCCGAGCCAGGAATTTCTATCTAACGTCTCATTACACTAACCAAGGCTCCGGTTGTGGTCCTGAACATACTCGCAGCTGGGGGGGGGGGGGGGAAGAGTGAAACAGATCTCGACAGTCCCCAGACCGTGAACGTCCCCATTGCCGTAATTCCGTTCCCGAACGACAAGTCTTTAAGGTGTACATGCATGAGGCTGTTGTTCGACAGACAATCTGGTACTACTATGGTTAGCTTGATAGACTCGATGACAGAAAAGTGGCCAGGGAGGCATCTGAAACGGGTACTCACATGACGCTTCCGTAGGGCTGAAGCCTCGCTAGTTGAAACTTTGACGTAACACAAGTCCTTCCTGGTCTGGTTTAAAACGGCGAGCTAATAGCCCAGAAGCAACTGTCGGTCGAAGTTCCGGGTCATGTACGCCAATGATGATGATGACTTTCGGCCGATAAACACCCTCCCCGCAGTTTCGAAGATATTAGAGACATTGATCAAAGATAAAATGATGCGTCACTTAACAGCGAATAACTTACTGAGTGCAGCTCAGCATGGATTCCTCAAAGCTCGATCTTGTGACACCTGTCAGCTCTCTTTCTTTGACTATGTTCTCCAATCTAGGGACAATGGTTTTGCACTTTACACTGTATATTTCGATTTCACTAAGGCTTTTGATCGTGTTGACCATGCTCATCTTCTCTTGAAACTGTCCTCTTTCGGAATAGGTGGCAAACTTTTGAATTTTATATCCTCTTACCTGGGCACTCGTACACAACGAGTTAAGATTTCCAATACTATCTCCAACCCCACACGTGTGAGGAGTGGAGTCATTCAGGGAAGTGTACTCGGCCACTTCTATTTTGCTTTTTCGTTAATGATGTACCCGATTTATTTCAGAATGGTAAGCCTTTCATGTATGCCAATGATCTTAAAGTTGCATATCTATATAAGCCGGCAGATCGTGACATCGTGCTTGAGCTCCTAAAGAGCGATCTACAGGCTTTCGCCCAGTGGTGCCGCACATGGCGCCTTTCTCTTTCTTGGCATAAGTGCTCAGTCATGGTGGTTCGCGACGACCACCAACCTCAACTAAATATTGAAGGTCACTCCATAAATGTGCCCAGGGTTATAAAGGATCTGGGCATATCATACTCCAAGAGTCTCAATCTTTCGGAGCACTGTGCCTTGATAGTCTCCAAAGCACGCAGAACGACCGGGTTTATCCTCCGAAACTTTAAAACTAGGGATATCAGAATGCGCCTTTACAACATGTACGTTAGACCTGGTCTGGAATACTGTTCGTTTTTATTTAGCCTCGTGCGTGCTACTGAGCGGAAGAAAATAGAATCCGTTCAACACTTTTTTTACCAAGAGAATTTTAGCCGCGGAACACCGACATGTGTCTTACCAAGAACGTTGCCGGCTTACGGGCCTCGATCCTTTATGGTTCCGTAGATTACAAAAGGGACTATTTTTTGCTATTTAAACTCTTATATAATCACACATTTAACCCACTCACTTCTTTAAGACATCATATCCATCCACGACGTAACAGTCACTGCGAGGTCTTCTTATTTCTGCCTCTGGCACGTACTGTTAAATATCGTCGGTTCTATTCTGTAAATGCAATTGCTATTTGGAATAAACTACCAATGAGTGTGAAAACTCTGCAAAATTATCCTTTATTTAAGAGAACTATTACTCGATTTTTGCATTCAGAAAAGCTTCCTCAAATTTTGGGTTCTGAATCCACTGATCGACTCTACCGTAGCAATGGCGTTTGTGGTCTCTGAACACTATGGCCGGTCTCACCAGCTGTTCCTCAACGCCTCTACTTTGACTATCCCCAACTTCATGAAAGGGATTGACGTCCGATGATCTCCGATACCGTGCAACCCCCTCCCCCCCTTCCTTGACGGTCGAAAATCTACCGCCAGCAGTTTTTTTTCCTGAACCCATCAAATCATAAAAAACCATCATCAACGATATTTTTATTCTTCAGGAGTTTTTTTTCCACTGCTGGTCGGATTTGTGTTTAATCGCTTCCCTTGACAATGCCTGTAAACTGGCATTTAATAAATTAAATTAAATGGTGCCTTCATGATTGGCAAATCTGATCGTGACGAGTACCGAGAGACAGCTGCTGAATACAACTGACCCCGACATTCAATCTACAATGGCGACAAGGATGTACAACTGAATTTCCTTCTCAGACTTACTCGTTCGTCACTGTGCTAGTGGAGGGAGAAGAAGGCCACAGAAGTACTTGCGACCATGGGGTTAAAAGTTAACTTCTCTAACACTTGTCCGTCAGCCCTTGAATTGATAAAAACTGAGGTTCCAGGAATTTGTACAGTATACTTTCCCTAAATAGGGGGCCCACCTTGGTAGTCAATGTCAAAACACTGAAATCTCCGAGAAATATGTATGGTCGCTGACTGGCAACTGATTCAATCAGGGACACCATTGGTCAGGCCGCAAGCTTTTATTATACGCACGTGCTCAGTTTACTGGCCACCTCAATGCTGAACGATCTTGCCTACAGGTCAGCGTAACTCCCAGCTGGACCATTCCGCTCGGTGGCGTCTGACCGACTACATAACCGTCCGTTAGAGATGCAAATTTGGAGAATGGAACACAAACGTACGTGGTCAAATATTTCTACTGTAATGGCACACGAGACCGACAGAGTTGTTTTGATCGATTGGGGGCACCTTGGCGGGGCGGGGATCCAGGGTGAGATCGGCGCAACCGCGTGTTAGTGAACGTGGCCGGTGCGCCCCTTGGCTCAGTTCCGTCGACATCCCCATTACCGTGGTCCAAATCTTACTTACCCACGACGCTACGATCCCCACCGGTTATCACCTAGGCATGCCGACATCACCTCCCACCCCAGACAAAGCCCCCTTTCTACATAAGGTGACTCTCCCTGTCATTGGATTTGCTGTTACCGGTTTGCTCGTTCATTATCAATAGTACGACTGTAACGAATTCTCGATGCTCGCTTGAATGTATACGGTCTAACAGTCCCCCTCAGTCACTTCTTGGCTGAGAACCACCCCGAATGTGCGTGTGTGACACCCTCAACACCGTCGGCCGCCGCACTAGGGGATGGGTATCTTGCGTGCGCGGGCCAAGCCCCACCTCCACCAGGCTCAATGACTCCCTCATAATATGGTCCCTATGACACTCTCACGCACCTGAGCTCCGAGCAGCCCACCCCATTTTTGTGAAAACCTGACGCATTGTGAGGGGAACGGGGTCCTTCGTGGCGCACGTAGACGGGCCAATGTGGCTCTGTCAGTCGCTGCGCCAAAGCGACTCGGAAAGCGGACTGGTTCGCGGAAGGAGCGACGCCGACACTGAGGAATTCATCCCTACATCATACATCAGCGCATTCCTTACCAATAATAAATCTCATAAGTGCTGATAGAGGGGAGCAGGCGAGTTCCAGGTAGCAGTTCAGAAGACGAAGATGTGATCACTGGAACAAGAAATTTATTTGCCTGACGTTTCGGACTCCCACTCGAATCCATCATCAGAGGCAGTCGCAGATAAAGGCAATGGTGGCACAAGGAGTGCGGTATTTATAGCACGTGGCTGCCGTGGGACTATATGCGCGCTGTAATTAACAGCTCTAGCAATCACCGCAGCTCTTCACATACGGGCTCTTACGTGCGCGGAGAACGTCTCGGAAGCCGTCAGTCGTCTAATCACTCCACTTGGAGTTGGGGTTGCACACAGGCCGGAAGCAACCATTAGGCGCCAAGTCATGAGGCCAAAAGACCCACTGCCACGGCAAGAAACGTCTGGAGTCGTTTACCGGATCTGGTGCAGTTGGGGCCAAAGCAACTACGTCGGAGAAACTGGGAGATTACTCCGTACACGAATTGCCAAGCACGCAGCAGCAGTGAAGCGGGAAGACGCTAGCTCTCAGGTGACGACACATTCGACGTGACCCGGCCATATTTTCAAGAGGCTGAAATCCTACCAAGGGCGACAACCACGTGAGCCGCGAACTGCTCGAGACATGGTTCACGGGCCCGCAATCCATTAACAAGCGCAATAACCTCCCGGCACCATATTCCGTGCTGAGATCTTCCCTGAGCAGGGGAGTCGGTCACGTGGGGAGGGCGCGGGCGAGCAAGTATCCCAGTGACAGTGAGCAAAATTCGCCGAGCAATCGTCACAACAGCATCCAGTACGGATGACGAAATCACGGCCATTAACGGCTCGGACGCGGACTGAGAAGCCATTATCGCATCAATTACGACTCCAGCGGTGCTTGCGAGAGCGGTTAATTACAGTGGGCAAATGGTCGCACGGCAGCCACGTGCTATAAATACTGCCCTCCCTGTGCCACCATCACCTTTATCTGCGACTGTCTCTGATGATGGACTCGAGTGAGAATCCGAAACGTCAGGTCAATAAATTTCTTGTTCCAGTGATCACATCTTCGTCTTCTAAATCGCATAAGCTTTTAACTCGTCCCGATGTACGAAAAGCCGCGGCTTGGAAGGCTGCCAGCTGACTGGGGAACTCAGTCCTCGTGGTCAGCACTGAGTGTATGTGGGGTGGATGGCTGGAGGACCGGGACTCGAGCTCAGTGGCTCCTCCACAATGTGGCCTATATGGCACTCTTACGAGAGATACAGCCCCATTTTTCAGGAGACCTGGCACGTTGCGCGGGGACCAGGTCGTGTGCAGCGCGCGTAGACGGGTTGTCAGTTTTGTCAGTCACTGCGCCCACGTCCGATCGTTTTGCATTGGGCGGGAGTGAGGTAGATGCGGCGAAAGTCCGCCTCACTACGGCTGACTCACATGCAAGTCACCGGTGCTCTGTTCACTCCCTGGGGGACAATGGCGGTCGTCGTTTCTCGCGACGGTCGAACTCCGGCATCTCTGCGAAGGATTGCCATGACTGAGGCCTCGCGTACTCGCAGCTCTGTCCAATGGCAGGTCTCCAGCCGACTGCAAAGGTCCTGACGCAGAGCCGCGCGGACCCAGTCACCCCTATGCTCGGTTCTGGATTCACCTTTCCAGAGTGATCGAGCTTGCCCACCAGTCGAAGAACTTCGCCGCCTATCCTGACCGAGCAATTACCCTCCCGTTTTTCTTAGCGGCAACCTTTCCTTCCGACAATCGCTAACGTTCAAAAGCGGTGAACGCCTGTGAATAGGATCTGTATTTGTATATATATATATATATATATATATATATATATATATGCTAAACTTTGTGAACAAGGTATGCTGAAAGAAGGCCTGAGGCAACTGTCGGCGCCTCCAGAATGAAGACAAACTGCCATGCGAGTCTCGCAGTCACAGTATGGGAAGGAAAATTGGTGTTCCAATGTGCACAAACTAATGTGGGCAAATTGCTAAAAGGGTGGCGAGATATGTCCGGGGACAGTCCGGGTAACTAGCTCAGAAGAAGGACATTCCAATAAGGAAGCCACCACCGAAGGATCCAAAGAATACCTGGTTCTCTCGAAGAAGACCGACGGCCTAAAATGCGAAAGGATGAAAAGAAAATAGGGATGGGGAAGATGCAGATGGGACAGAAACGTCGAAATAATGCGAATGATGCCAACAAGTGAAACCGGAGCAAGTTAAGCTTACCTTTTCATGAATTCGTTTGGATTGCTTTAAAAAAGGCGAAAAGCGGGACTTTAGGAGAACTCGTCGGAAAAGTGACCAAAAGGAAAGCTTAGACACCTGATCTAACGATGCTCTACTCCACAAGAGAGAAAACTAATAAAAAATTGACAATCCCAGGTTTAGAACCCTACAAAACTAAAGCTACTTTTCTCACGCGTACTGAGGAAAACACGGGCAATGAATTTATGCACTGTCCAGAGGAATGAAAGAGAATTTTTTGGAAGACCGGAGACACTAAAAATGAGTACAGTCAACGACCGATCTCCTGAAACGTTGACCGAAATTCTAAAATGCGTTTTCGATCAGGAAGAATTGCTTAAGTGCGGTTGAATTATTGGTTATCGTGCGGCATTATGCTATATTTCAGAAATGTCAGGACGAAGGCTTTAAAATACACATTTTTCGGTCGCCTATAAAAAACCACACTCGGTAAAACGACTATTTAAGCGGTATCCATTTCCATATTGACTCTCCACACCCCATAAATTCAGGTATATTTTATTGAAGACGCGCACAAAATACCCCTTCCTGTACTGATTTGGTAACAAATTACGTCTTCTAATTTTCTACATGAAAAAGTGCATTTTTCGGTTTCGAAAAGCTTTTCGGCTCCCGAATAATTTTGAGCTCTATTTTTCGTTGCAGTTGCGCTCAAGGTTCTCACTTTACATGCCGTATACATTCCGCGTAAGGAGGATTCATACATTCCTTTATGCTACTAAGATACTGCATAGGGCTCATAAAGTGTTGTAATGAGTATGGACTATGCTGTATACTTCACAAACAGCATTATCGAACGGACCGATACGATGTAACTTGAATGGAAATTGCACGGTCTTAAACGATCTCATAATTAGAAACTTGTTGAAACCAGATGACATCCAATCTTTATGTATATGCCACCATACCCCCCCCCCCCCGGCCAGTACCTGCAACACGCATGATCGCACTCAATATCCCACAACACAAGCACGAAAGTGTCTTTCTCGGCCCCTTCTCCACGTGGTTCCTCGGCTGCATGCGTGATCCAGGCCCAGGACTTATCCTGGTGCGCTATGCGCCGTGGCTTGGAAGGTCGCTAACTGACAATGGGACTCACACCTCGCAGTCAGCCCAGTATTGGTTTGTGCGGAGTGGCCAACTGGTGGACTAAGGGTCAGGTTACAATGGCTCCTTCTTAATGTGGTCTCTGTGGCGCTCCCACTCCGTAGGATTCGA